AAGGACTGGCGCATCCATCGCCTAGACATAAAATTGGCCTTCCTCAATGGTGAGCTAGCGGAGACGGTCTTCGTCAGGTAACCTCCGGGTTTCACCATCAAGGGAGCGGAGCACAGGGTGCTCCGACTGTGCAAGGCGCTCTACGGGCTGCGGTAGGCCCTGCGAGCGTAGAATGCCAAGCTTGACGCCACGCTAGGTGAGCTTGGGTTCACGCGGTGCGCAACCGAGCATGCGCTCTACATGTGGCGATGGGGAAGGAGGAGCTCGTTGTCGGTGTGTTTGTAGATGACTTGATCGTCATCGGCACGCGTGCGGAGGACATCGATAGCTTTAAGCGCGAGATGGCGGCTCGTTTTCGAATGAGCGATCTCGGTGCTCTCTCCTACTACCTTGGCATCGAGGTAAGACAGGGAAAGGAGGCGCTCACGCTCGATCAGAGTGCGTACGCCTCGAAGCTGTTGGAGCGGAGAGGCATGGCTGACTGCAAGCCGTGCGTGACTCCGATGGCGGAGCGGCTGAAACTGACGAAGGCCAGTACCACGGCGAAGGTAGATGCAACACTCTACCGAAGCATCGTCGGCGGTCTGCGCTACCTAGTCCACACGAGGCTGGACATTGCGTTCGCCGTGGGCTACATCAGCTGCTTCATGGAGGATCCCCGAGAGGATCACTGGGCCACGGTGAAGCGGCTATTGCGCTACGTCAAGGGGACGGTGGATCAGGTGATCTTCTTCTCTAAGACCGGCGAAAGTGGGCTGCAGTTCACTGTGTTCAGCGATGCAGACATGGCGGGAGACATCGACGGACGGCGGAGCACCTCTGGCGTGCTCGTCTTCCTCGGGTCGGCTCTAATATCATGGTTGTCGCTGAAACAGAAGGTGGTGGCGCTGTCCACGTGCGAGACAGTACGTGGCGGTGGCCACAGCGGCGTGCCAAGCTGTGTGGCTGCACCGGCTGCTGGATGAGCTAACTGGTGTGGAAGCTCACCCATCAGCACTGATGGTGGACAACCAGCCCACCATCGCCCTCGTGAAGAATCCGGTTCTCCACGATCGGAGCAAGCACATCGACATCAAGTTTCACTTCCTCAGGGACTGTGTCGATGGAGGGCAGATCGTCATCGAGTTCGTCGAAACTAGTCGGCAACTCGCGGACGTCATCACCAAGCCGCTCAGCCGTCTTCGGTTCACGGAGCTGAAGAAGATGATCGGCATGGTGAAGGTTTTAGGGTTAGCATCAGGATTATAGAAAGAATTGTAAAGTAATCTGCTGCCCTCCTATGTCTGAATGTGCAGCAGGGCTAGGCGTCGAAAGGGCTCCCTGCTGCTGCACTGTAGCCGCGGCAGGGGCAGACGCCGAAAGTCTCTCCTGCCGCACTGTAGACACAGAGGGACAGCGCCAAAGTCAGCCCTGCTGTCACATCTAGTTACTGTAGCAGTCTGGCAGCCTGACATGTCTGTGTACTAGAATTAGATTGGTAGATTTGTATTTACAGCTTTCTACTGTAACTTAGTAAAGTGAGCGAGTTCAGTTTTATCATCTCATCTGCAGAGCTCCGACCAACACTAGTGCTTATACTATGTGTGTGCGCGCTCTGTTTTTCCTCCCTTCTATCTCTAGCCATAGTGTGTGATTGATAACGTCGGTGAGCGGTCGGCTCACCCGTGTCGAAGATCCAGGGGCCAACACATATCGCGTGACATACCTGCTTGCTTGCAACCTGCTGCACTTGCGGCCTTGCGCATTGCGCATGTTTACAGCTTCATTGCGCATGTGCTTCCAAAGTTTCCAGATGTATCGATGATATCTGAGGAGTGAGGACAAGTGCACTGTGCACCTGCTACCACAAGCAAGTAAAATTGCACCAAATGATGACAGTAACGGCTCTGAGAGTGAGACACCGCCATTCACGTTTTATTTCACTGTGTCGGACTTTGCTGGGTACTCAAATAACTATCAGTCGTTCATTTAATCAGATCGGATGGCTATGATCATCTATTGTTACTACTTACAGGTAATAGTTGAAATATATATTTATTTGATCTTTAATTTGCTAAAATATGATAAATAAGAAAACCCAAGACTTATACTGATGGTATACACGAACCAAAAACTTATACTGATGGGACCGTATGGTAGATGGTTTGAGCAGTGAAGTAAAGGAGCCATATTCATTATGTGAAGCTCTTCAGTCTGATTATTGGCAGCGTGCAATGAATACAGAGTTTGATGCTCTCAAAAGGAATAATACTTGGCATCTTGTTCTACTCAGCCTGGACAAAGTATTATAGATTGCAAATTGGTATATAAAGAAACAAAGAAGGCAGATGGTACTATCGATTGCTACAAAGCTAAACTTGTAGCTAAACGGTTTAAGTAGAGGTATGGTTTGGATTATGAAGACACTTTTAGCCCTATTGTGAAAGCTGCTACTATTTAGGCTTGTGCTATCACTACCTGTAGTATTCACCAACTAGATGTTTAGAACGCAGTTTGGCATGGTGTTCTAGAGGAGGATGTTTACATGAGATAACCCCCCTGGGTAGAAAGATAAAATATTACCACATTATGTGTGTAAGCTCGATAAGCCGCTCTATGGACTGAAACAGGCCCCTCGATCCTGGTATTCTCGATTGAGCCACAAACTTCAGCAACATGGTTTTCATGCTTCAAAGGTCGATACTCCAAGCATATTGATTTAGATTATCAATTTGCAAGAGAGCATGTTTCTCAGAAGCTGCTAGATATATCAGAATTATATCTAGCGATGACCAAGTGACCAATGGGTTTACCAAAGCTCAATCGGTTAACAAGCTGCATAAATTTAGAAACAATCTCAACTTGTGTAAGTTGTGATTGAGGGGGGCTGCAGAAGTATACATATCATTTAAATAGGATTGAGTCTTATATTAATGTAATTGGCTAGTGCAAGCAATGGACTAAGACTAGAGTCATGAATAGAATCAGCCATGAAAACGGATCCTGTAACTTTGCTTATTATACATACTCATTCTATCCCTAAATAAATAGATTTCTAGCAAGTTTAATTAGGGTAAATTAGTATGACAAAGAAAAGACCAGTATACTATTAATTGAAGCAGTTGCACACTGATCAATGATGGTTCCACTTACACGCTAATTATGGCATTTACTACACTTATCCAACTATAGAAACTCAACATTTGGATTGGGGGAATTTCGGGGCAGTGGTGGGTGGAAAAGAGATAGATGGGAGGGGGTACACTAAATACGAGGAGATTGCGAGGAAAATATGCGGCCATTGATTTATTATTCATAGACAAATTTTTAGGATAGAATCTATTTATTCATGCGATAATGATACAATTATGACGCCCGGATGGACAGACGCCTCCCACCGCTCACTCCCTCACGCGCCATTCCAACCCATCCTTATCCCTTTCGCGTCGCGCCCTGCCCACCCCGACGATGACACGGCCATGGCTGCCTCCCTGGCCGGCGACGGTGCCCTCAACCACCCCGGCGTGCGCGCTCCCCCACCCCGGCGGCCTCCTCCCCCACCCCGGCGGCTCCTTCCGCCACCCCGGCGGCGCCCCTCCCCCCACCCGGCGTCCTCACCCACCAGGAGCGCCCAACGCCCGCGGATCCGGTGGCCCTCTCCCCCACCCCGACGAGATCCATGGAGGTGGCGCGGCGGTATTGCAGGGGTCGGTGGCTCTCCCCCACGCCACTGGCCATGGCGCTCCCCGCCCCTCATCCCCCGCCGTCACCGCCGAGTCAAGCCCGATGCCGTTAGCGTTGCTAGTGGTGGTGGTGCTTGCGCACGCCGCTAGTGCTGGTGCTGGGTGGTTCTCGCATTCAGCTGCTCGCCGCCGACTCCCACCCCGTCGGCCGAAATCGAGACCGGCCCAGGCCTCTCTCCCCCTATGTTGCAAATGTACGTTTTAATTGTTTCAAATGTTTCAGAGGCATGTTGCAATAGTTCATATGGATGTTGCAAAAGTAGACTGGGGGATGTTGCAAATGTTTTTTAGGCATGTTGCAAGCGTTTGTTCAAACTATTTCATCTGTTTCTAGACGTATGTTGCAAGCGTTTTGATCTAGAGGTTGCATATATTTTCACACATATAAAGTGTTTTCAGGTGTTTTTTACAAGTGTTTTATACTCATGTTTCAAGTGTTTTAGCTATTTCATACATATGTTGCAAGTGTTTCATATGGATGTTTTAAAAGTAGATCTGATGTTGCAGCTAGTGTTTCAGATGTATGTTTCATGTGTTTCATCTGCCTTGAGACGTATGTTGCAAGTGTTGCATCTGGATGTTTTAAAAGTAGATCGGGTGTTGCATCTCTATCTTCGCTTTTTTTGTTGCCTCACCTTTCGCCTCGGTTTCTCTCTTCCTCCTCCTCCCGGCGCCGGTTAGGCATCCACCGCCCCCCTCCCCCTCTACTGGATGCTGGCGTAGCCACCTACTGTAGTGACCTGCTGCAGTTTACTGGCCACGTGCATGTGCGTGAGAAGCGGAGGGGTCGCGAGCAAGGATTCCCCACATGCAGTCGAGCGGTACGGGCCCTACATAGGCGGACGGGGGATGCAGGTGCGCAGGAGGAGACAGAGTGCAGGCGCGGGCATCCAGACGCAATCGTCCGTGTGGACGTCCGGGCGCTAGCACTGCCCTTATTCATATACAAATTTTTAGGCTAAGCCATCCGATCAATCTTACAATCCTTGTTTATATTCGTATGTATCCATATATCCATCCACCGTACATTTTGCACCCTGCATGCGATCGATTGTACGTACTACGTACCATATAGTACACTTTACACAGCCACACTCGGTTGACATTATTACGTACTTCTTCAAACTATCGATGATCATTTCAACATATGGAGCAGCATGTCGTTCCAAGTATCAATGGCCCCGGGCAGGCACCAGTGCACGCAGTCATTGTGCAGGGTGAAGTGCTTCTCCGGCGTCCATCCCCGGTACTTGCTCGGGTGCGCGTCCGCACGCAGGATCATATGGCTTCCGTCGTGTCCATCAGCAGCATCCTCACCTTGCTGCCACTGTCCGTCGCCGCCTTCGCCGCCGACGCCAACTCCTCCGCCTGCAGCGCGCGGAAATCACGCTCGAAGCCCTCGACCCTCTTCTGGCCACGCCGGTACGGTGCCGTCCGGACGCAGTTGCCGTCCCCGTTCCACTCCCCGCCCTCGTACTGCGACGGGTCCACGGTGCGCAGCAGGGCCGTGCCGCAGAACCGGCGGCTGCTGCCGTCGGCACCGGACAGCGCCCGCAGCGCGGCCCGCGTGGCCATGCGTCGGTCACGTTGGGCAGCTTGCAGTAGTGGCAGCCGACGAGCCGCCCGGCCTCGTACAGCATGGACGGGCGGTAGAACCAGCTCGACGCCGACACGACGACGTAGTCGAACTCCGCGACGTGCGCCGCTCACACGTCGTCCGGCTCGTCGAGGCAGAGGTTCCAGACGCCCATGTGTGCTGGCCCGTCCTCGTCGATCTCTGCTCGTGCCGGACGAGGTACGGCGCCCGCCCAGAAGTGGGACACGGTGAAGTTGTACTCGCCGTAGTACACGGTGTGCTTGCTGCTAAGCCACCTCGTTGTATAGGCTCCGCGGCCTGCATCACATGCATGTCCGCGGCCTGCATCACATGCATGCATGATCATGATCTCAACACACCTAGGTAGCTACTAGCGCCGCATCGGCGATGACCTTTTTCGAGATCGATGGATCGAGATCAACGAATGAACTCGCTGTGGTCAAGAGGCAGATGAGCGAGTCCTTTTGGTTCCTGCCGAGGGAGTCGCCCACGAAGGCAAGGGACTTGCCCCTCGTCATGTGGAGGAAGCGCCATGGGTTGAAGCGGGGCAGGTCGCAGCCGTCAGGCCGCCAACCGCCAGTTGACGAAGCCCAGGTCTGGCTTGCCGTACCTCATGCAGTCGTAGTGCTCGTGGATCACCTTGCAGGTGTCGTTGGTGTAGTAGGGCGCGTCCGGGTCCGGCACCCACTCGCCCCTGAAAATGTCACAACCGCCGCCCTCACCGCCTCCTCGCGGTCTGCTGGATCTGCGAGACAACAGCGGCTGGGGGAATAACGGAAGAAGGTTCCGTCGGTTTGGGAAGCTGAGATACACGTCCGAAGCTACGAGAGCTACCAGGACCAGGAGAAGGGACACGACGAAGCATCTGCTGCTGCAGTGCCAGTGCTGCTGCTTCGTGCTGCCAGCAGCAGGGCTGCAGGGGGATTATTCGTCTTGGGTTTGCTTAGTTTATAAGTCGTACTTTTTCAGCCAACGAATAGTATTTTTCTCTTACACCAAATTAGCCAACGGTACTTTCAGACATGGCTTATCAGCCAAACAAGCTCAAACGAACAGGGCGATTGCCATTGGTGGTATGGAGAAGAGACCTCATGGCTACACTACACAATTGACTAAGTCTCCCCGGGTGCGCAGGTTTATATGTAGCAATGCATTTTGGCCACGTTTTAATTGGGCATGCACGACAAGGGAGAACAGCCGACTGGGCCAAACACTACACTGGTGCTGTTGTGATGTATGCTATCACCTGCATGAGTCATCTCGTCAGCTGTGTTCGGTAGGTTACAACAAATCCTCATCAACCATCCATGATAGAGGATGATTGGCTCGTTAAAATGTTAATTAATTAACTATGTTATATATAAAGCTTATTTGTACGTATGTGCAGTGCAGAAGTGGGCTGCACACTAAAGCACGCTAGCTAATTGTAGCAGTGCAATTTGGCCATGTTACTAGCTAGTTTAATTGGGCATTCATGAGAAGGGAGAACGATTGGGCCAAACACCGCACCGGTGCTGTTATCACCTGCATGCATGAGTCATCTTCAGCTGTGTTCGGTAGGTTACAACATATCCTCATCCATCCATGGCAGAGAGGATGATTGGCTCGCGTCAAATATCAACTGCTCCATCTTTTATAAATTATAAGACGTTTTGACTTAATTTTTTAGCTACATTACTTTTACTATATATCTAGACATGTTGTATATTTAAATACATAGCAAAACTATGTATCTAGAAAAATTAAAACGTATTATAATTTGGAATAATGAATATGAGGGAGTATGTTATAAATAAAGTTTATTCATAAGTATATGTCCTGTGCAGAAGTGGGCTGCACACTAAGCTCACTAGTTGCACGACAGTTGCTATCTCTGCCTCTCATTGCCGTCTCTATGCTCAGATCTCCTGACTCATGAGGACACTGATGCCCGAAAATTTTGTTCCAACCTTTCACGGTACAAAAAATTTTCAACATCGAATGATCTGTTTTTGGCTTCACAATTTAACTAGCTCTCTCTCTCTCCAATACAATTTAACTAGTTCCCAAAAAATTTTGCGCAGTACCCATCACATCGAATCTTGCGGCACATACATGGAGTACTAAATGTAGACGAAAAAAAACTAATTGCACAGTTGGGTGAGAAATCGCGAGACGAAACTTTCGAACCTAATTAGTCCATAATTAGACACTAATTGTCAAATACAAACGAAAGTACTACAGTAGCCAAAACCCAAAAATTTTTGCATCTAAACGCGCCCTGATTCTATTGAAATATTGAATAGCAGCAGCAGCTTACAATTATGGTCTCCGGCACCAGGAAACAAGTTTCAGAGATGTGAATGGTGGCCAGCAATGGCCCATTCATGCACTTTAAAATTACTAGCAGCAGGTATTCACAGAAATAAATGTTAGAAGATTTGGGCTGGCGCAAATAATATTCCTAAATAAACCTCAAAGGCCCACTCACATATGCATGGTATGGTGAAAGACTTTAGTCCCACATTGCTACTCTAAAAGAAGTGATGCCAACTTAAATGGCTGAGTTGTCTCTTACTAGTTGAAGCTATTGGGGAGAGGAAAAGGAAGAAATCCATGCGCGCGCTCACTCGCCTCGCTGGGCCGGGTAAGACGTGGGCGCGCGACATGCGCGGGGATGGTCCGGCGATTTCTCGCCTCAACCTTGCGGGTGCGTGGCTTTCTTTTGCTACTCTATATTTTTGCATGCGTGGAGAAAATTGCGCTGGCCTATTTTGGCAGGCAATTATTCTCACATTAATGGTGATTTAATGTTGTGATTGCGCGACTAATTACTTATCTTAGTTGCGACATGACGTGTGTATATATTGAGACAAGACAACGTCCTCAGTATAGATAATTCATCTCTTCCCCATGCCACTGTGCTGCGCTGCCACCGTCTTCCCCATCCCGTCGCCGACGTGACATCGGCGCCAAGCGAGCAGGTCTCCGAAGCCTACGTCTCCTCGTGTCCCTGCACGGGGCAGGGGGCGTATCAGGTTTTTGGGAAGCGCCATCGCGACTACTCCCTCGACGTCTTCCTCTCTCTACGTGGATCTCCGTCGACGGTCTCCATCGTCTACTCCCGACAACTCCACTGTAAGAATATCTATTCTTTCTATGTTGTTCGTTCTTATGTTCCTACTGTTACTAGCAATAGATAGCTTGAGTTTGCCTCGGATCGTAGTGCTAGTGATTAATCTTACACCTGTGGTACATGCTGTTGTTCTTTTCCTCATTGTTGGAATTAATTTATGCGTCACTAAATTGCTATTATTTTCCAACAATAAAGAAAACAACAATTGCTGCCTGAAATTAGCGGTGATGGCCTAAGAACAGGTGAATTAGGCTCTAGAAAATCTAAACAAGAGTAAAATACACTAGTGGTTCTTAAACTTTGGGAAGCGGCAATCCAGGTCCCAAACTTCTATTTTTTATTTTTGAGTCTCGAAACTTATTCTGGGCTTCAACCCTAATCCAAACGGGTTTCAACTCGCTCAACATGCTAACGTCTTTGTGTTCAATTGTGTCAATTTGTTTGTACAGTCCAACCACCTCCTTCTAAAATTCTTTTATGCTCAATCCGTCCATAACTGAACACTGTATATCAAATGATTTACAATATCAACAGATGGCCAAAAGTTTCCATCAACATGCCGATGCCAAAAGAACATGTGACAAGGGTTGACAGACGAGATGCACGTTGTGATTTTGCTTACCGTGCCAAGAGATAATGTTGAAACTCCGTCTTTAAATTTTGAATGCCAATTTGACAAAATCTGGGATTGCTGCTCCAAGCCAAGTGGCACTAGTTTTCACGAACATCTTCATGCAGATGCACGGGTCTACAATTTTCTATCAGATTACCTATATAGCAACTTCAGCTTAGAAAAAGAATCCTTAGATAATTAGTTATTTCCCTCCATTCTAAACTAGAGTACACTTTCCTAATTGAAACTTGCTAACTTTGACCAAGATTTTAGAAACGAACATATTAACATTTACAAGTTCAAATAATTGCAACATCAAAATATATTTGATGGAAAATTTGATGTACCTAATTTGATGTTGTAGATATTAGAGCTTTTTTCTAAAAATTTAGTCAAATAAGTTTGACTTAATACAAAGCATAAGTGAACTATATAATTTAGAATGGAGGGAATACCATTTTTCAGGAAAATCTTTATGCAGAGGCCAATTTGAGTAAGACAATTACACCTTTTGGATTTATTGCCAGAAAAAAGGATCAGGTTTAGAAAATTCATGTACATATGCGGCCCTCATTCACGAAACCACAAACAGCAATGACGTGAACATATCCAAAGAAACAAACAATTATACAATGTTATAAATGAAACATTTGATTCCAATGTGAAAAATTTGCTGCGCTTTCTTTACTTCTATTTATATATGTAGCACTTTAAAAACAAACAATTATACAATGTTATAAATGAAACATTTGATTCCAATGTGAAAAATTTGCTGCGCTTTCTTTACTTCTATTTATATATGTAGCACTTTAAAGAATTATTATATACTGCACCGTCTTCTTACTTAGGGTAGGGTAGCAGAGAGCAAGCTAATTACAGGACATCTCTAGTGACAAGTAAATACAAAAACATTACAACACATTCTGCCAAAAAGTGGGAATTGCTGACAGGATGTAGCAGAAAATTGGTTTTGTATCAGTTTAGTGCGGTGAACTGGCTCATGTCACTCTGCTTCATCAACATACTCCATCTGTTCATGCAAGTAACGATGGTCTCATGAAAACCATGGACCTATGGAATCACTAATATGCTATGATTAATTTGCTAGAGAAAATTGACAATAAATCAGGATGTGAACAGGTGTCAGGTGCTAGCATTAGCCATTCAATTCAACTTTGTGTAAAACCATTTGCTATGTACCACTATATATGAAACTCACAAATCTTTCATACAAAGTCCATCACCCGTGACTGAAAGTAATTCTTTGTCATTATATTACCAATGTCTTAAATTATACAGTAGAACCTGAAACTGCATAAACCATTGTACCAAACAGAAGATGCATTGAAGTACATAAAAGTAAAACTAATCTCAGTGCAACATGAAACTGAATTAGTTGCAAGAATCATTGTGCGAAACAATTGACTATCAAGAACTGCATGTTACTGTTCATGCTTCTGTCTGAACTACATATGGCAAATAATTGTTTCTTGCATCAAACAAGAATAATAAGGAACAAAAAACAAGCATAGGCACATCCCAATCACATACTTTCGAGGACAAGACTAATGAACATATTATAAAACCATAACTAGTATTATCAGGCTTAACCACTAATTTCTTCTAGGATAGTCCCAATCGTCATTACCAAATGATGAAATCTTAGGCTCATGTCTTCAATTTCCTTCTCTTGCATTGCTTGAACAGGTAAAGCTCGGACATCAACTCCTTCACGAGAACAGGGCAGCTTTTAGTCAGATGCTCAAAGCCATCAGTTTCCATGACTGCTTCCAGTGCATCAGGAGATTTGAGAAACTCAATGCAAGCCTGCTTGAGACCACGGCAGGAGTGCTGTTCAGCCAACACCAACGTGGTTGCGGCCGTGCCGACGTCTAGGTGCCTGTATAGCTTCTCCTCACAAATCAGCTTGAGCCTCTGCATGTCATACCTGTCCGCCGCTTCCAGCAGATGCTGGGCCATCGCGGCCTCCTCTTGTTCCTCCATCTGTGGCAGCGAGTCAGTGTAGATGAAATGGAGCAGGGCCTTGAACACCTGAGGTAACATGTCATCAATCCGGATGCAGTCCCCTGTGGCCGTGCTCTCCTTCATGGCACCCCACAGCTCTGCTTTGAAGACTCGCGACCGGGCCGCAAGCAGAAACCTGTGAACGCTGAATGACTCGCCGGCAACTTGGAAAGTAACGTCGGCGCCCTCTTTGGACTTGAGTAGATCAGCAAGATGCTGATTCAGGTCAGGTGGTGGTACTACGTCTAGGAGCGAGACAATCCTGTCCTCCGTGTGGAGCTCCTTGGGAATAATGACGTCGCAGCTGATCCTGAAGCAGTCGTTCAAGAGGTGCTCCGACTTCTCCAAGAACTCCCTTTTAATGAAATCATTGAAGCCGTAGCCTGAGCCACCTGGAGAGAACACGCGTAGGTCTGTGGCATGGGATTCCAATTGCAGCGGGTTCCCGGCCCGATCGAGCAATTCGAATTTGGCTCGCGCCTTCACGGGCCCGCCGGCACTCTCGTCGAGGCTGAGAAAGACGGATATGAAATCAGCGTCCTCAGACCTAGTGCCGTTGGGGTAATAGTGGATGCACCAGCGGCGACCCCCCGCAATGAACGTGCGTGACTGGATTGATTTGCCGGTGGGGAGCTCATTCTTGATGCGCGAGTAGCCGTCGATGTGGAGAAGGTGGTGCCCTATGAACTCGCCACCGACGATGGCCGAGGCGGAGCGAGGCTCGTCAACGACAAGCGCGGCGGATCCCAGGGCCGGCATGGCGGCGGGATGCGGAACGGCGGCCGACGAGGGTTTTGCCGCTACCCAGTTGGGGCTGGTTATGGGGAATGGGGACACGAACACGATGAATGCGGGGGATAGGAGTCGGCGGATCGACGGCGAAAGGCACATGTGGGACTCGTAACAGCAGGACCACATATGGGCCGAGCTGCCCCAATACATGCCATTCGGTTGGCCCAAACAATCTGACCCACGATTGTTTTTGGGTTTTTTTATAATTTGATATGACTGTTGCAAAAAAAAAATCTCCGGATACTCTTCTCGCAAATTGGACAAAGACGGATGTAAAGCCAGTTATCTCGCGGAAACCAAAGCTAAAATAGGTCTTCAATATAATAAATATAGCCTCTAACATAATATCTATATAAAAAACTTATTTTGAGTGTCAGGAGAGACATAATCCAAATCTAAATATCCTCTCTCCTGGAGATCTATTTACAGAAAGAGTTGTTTTTTAGTCTTATTGTTGGAGAAGACCAAAAATAGATATGAAACCCTTTACCTATAGCGCTACTCAAAAGACGAATATGTCTTCGTAAGAGACGGTCTAAGAACACATTTGGAACGAAGGATCTTGGTACAAATTTTGGAGGAAGTTGATTCATATAGTTTGATGACTCACATTAAGAGGAAAGGACAAAACGAAGGAAATAAAACACTGGTTTTCGGCCGCGAAAGCCCGAGGCAACCTCTATCGCTCGCTTGTGGAGAGAGAAAGAGCAAGCGATACGTTATGCCGAACCACGATACTAGAGATTCCCAAATATACCTTTATTTAATGACATCCAATCACATGTCTATTAATTTTTCATTTACTCCTCGCAGATAAAAAATTTCACACATATATTTAATTGTTAATTATAATTTGACATTGTAATGATAAATATTTAAATAATAAAATAAGTATTCATCTCTTTTAATCACACCTCATGTTTTGGGAATCCTGTATTATAATTCCTACGTTCCAAACACCCATATCTATGTTTTTCATGTGTTTTTCCATTCCTCTGTTTTCCCACAACACCTGCATCTCATTCCTGCATTTTTCTTCCTTTCCTCTGTTTTGCATTTCTTTATTCTAAACAGACCCTGATAATTTGATTTGCCTTTTGCAAAAAAGAAAAGCAGATAGTTCTCCAAATACTCTTCTTGGAATGTCTAGATTTAAATTCCCCCACTTCAATTTGTGGAATTTCGCTTTTCTCCATGAGTAATACTCAGGGGCGGACGTCCGTCCGATCAGACGATGTATTCCTGGGCCTACGCGGCGCACCAAGCTTGCCTCATCCTACTTATGTCTCCCACATCTCCCTTTCAAAAAAAATACCCACTTCCTCGTCCACTGCACGCTTCACGGCGTCGTGCGGTCGTCCGTCCGCTCCACTCCGCATTTGCCGCCGCAGCCATCTCCCCGCACACGCCCACCCTGTGTTGTTTGCTTCTCCCTCCTGCCCATCGCACGCGTGTCCACCCGCGCGCTCTCACTTCTTGCTCCCACAATCCCACCCGCCGCGCGCCGCTCGCTCCCACGTCGTCGGGCGCTCCGCCCACCTCGGCTGGTGCTCGTGGTGCCGTCGCGCACCTCAAGTCGATCCTCGGCCGAGCCAAGGGCACCCATGAGCGCGGCCCATGCTGGTGGTGCTCGCGCCACGAGGTCGGAATCAATCGGCCCTGACACCCCCCTATATGTTGCAAATGTATGTTGCAGGTGTTTCGTATGGATGTTGCAAAAGTAGAACGAGATGTTGCATATGTTGCAAGTGTTTCAGAGGCATGTTGCAAGTGTTTCAGAGGCATGTTGCAAGCGCTTGTTCAAAATGTTTCATCTGTTTCAGACTTATGTTGCAAGTGTTTTTATCTGAATGTTGCACATGTTTCACACCTGTGTTGTAAGAGTATGTTCGAAATGTTGCAGTCGTTTCAGTCTTATGTTGGAATAAGTGTTCTCATGTAATAATTTGTAAATGTTTTATCTAGATGTTGCATATATTTCACACACATGTTGCAATTGTATGTTTCAAATGTTTCATTTGCTTCAGTCGTATGTTGCATCAAAATGTTTCATGTTTCAGAGGTAGAGTCCCGGGGGGCATGGCCTAGGCGGCGGGGGATGGGGCGCGACGAGCCGTGGGCCAGCGTTCAGGGCGCGCAACACACCTAGGATCCTACGGACGGGGCGTGCTTGTCCTCGTGGCGTCTCTCAGGTCCCGCCGTCCTAGAGATAGAGGAGGGGTCAGGAGGAAGGAGCAATGGCCGCGGCGTTTCCTGCAGTTGCGCGAGCGTTCGGACTCGTGGTCGCGGAGAGAGGGGAGGGGGCTGGGGAAGGAGGTGCAGTCGTGGCCTTTTTCGTGGGCGCGCGTGACGAAGGTGGCGTGGACGTTCGGACATGCACTTTTGTCCGGACGTCTGTGCGATAGTATCTCCCTTTCTCCATGGAAGCTAGATTCTGACAAAAAATGTTGTGAGCACAAATGATAATCTCCTCAGTCCCAGTCATATGAAAAAAAGGTTAGGTAAAATTTGCTGTAGGATAGACATAGGGTCCGTTCGGCTTGCTGAAACTTGGCTAAATTGGTTGAAAACACTGTTCTGGCTGAATTGTTGTGAGAGAAAAATATTGTTCCGGCTAAAAAATAAACTAAATAATACGGATTATAAGGTAAGCCAAACGGGTCATAATGACATTGAGCTTGCAGTGGGAATAAAAAAATACAATTGGTCGATGGACACTTTCGGCTCGAGCAGTGGCGTGCTGGAAATTTTGGAGGTTGGAACTCTAAATGAGGTTTTAAACTAGGTATCAAGAAAGATAACAATGTATGGTTCCATCGTTCCGTTTTCATCTTACTAAGAGAAACTATTTATTAAACGTTTTTTAAACAGTTTTAGTTTTAGTTTTAGCAGCGGAGCAGAGAAATCAGCGCTCGCACTCGCAAGTCGCGAAGTGGTACTAGTGCATGCGGCAGTATACCTGGGCATCGGGCCGGCCCGGCCCGGCACGGCACGGTCACGGGCCGGCACGGCACGATGGCTATCGGGCCAAGGAGGCACGCCGTGCCCTACGGGCCGTGCCTTATCGACTCATGGGCCTAGCCTTCGCCCCGTGCACGGGCCTCAGGAGCCATTTTTCGTGCCAGCGTCTTTGGCCCGTGAGGCATGGCAAAAATAGCAGGCCGTGCCAGCCCACAGCCCGTTAAATCTAAAACACCTCCAAATAAATATCCCAATCCATTTAAATATCAAAAAGAGCTGTTTTGTACAATGCTGCCTCATTAAAAACCTACCTAGGTAAAACTCACCCTTTTGAGAAACCCTAGGCAGAAAAAAAGAGTGCAGCCAGCTCCAAATGTCTTAATCTTACATAGTTATTACAGACCATTGTTCAAATATTCAAATGAAAACTAAGCAAGTGAGTGAGGGACACATCCACTCTCAACTCACACAAAAGTACTCCAACACTCCCAGCCAACCAATGCCACTCTCAGCCACCAGATGCATCATCTTCACCTTCTGTTTCATCCAGGAATAGATTCTCGAATGCATCTTCAATTTCCTTGGTATCAGCAGCTTTATGTTGTTCCCTCTTCTCTCCTAGCTTCCAGTCCTTCAACAAGGTCAGCATCTCAACATGTTCTGGTTTCAAGCTCCAGCGCCGTTCTTCTAGGATCCTCCCCGCTAAGTCAAACAAGACTCAAGAACAAGTGGAAACAGGCCCTGACATGATATCTCCGCCATAATAGCCGAGGATGGGATAGGTTAGTTTGTGGTCCTTCCACCACGAAAGAATGTCAAAACCATCCTCATAAGCGATTATGCAAATATTGTCCAAATAGCTTGAAAGTTCGAAGCGAGAGAGTGAGAAGAAGAACAGACAGTGCCCTTTGGAAGGACCAGTGGACTGATCCTCCAAATATTACCCCCAAGCCTGTTTTCTCTTACCAGTGGGTGGGGTAGGACCAGCAACCCTTTGTGAACTGGTTACACCAAACTTTCTCAAATATTTCTCAAACATTTTATGCAACTTCGCTTTTCAAATCAGCATAGTAAGTAGTGTAATCAAGATCAAATATATTTAGTAAGTAAATGGAGGACCCTTTGCATACCTCTGAGCTTAGCTCTAGGGTCAAGAATGAATGCAAATGAGTATAAGAGAGGAATATCCTTCCAATACTTAAGGAATTTATGCTGCATAGGATACACAAAGGGTCTAAGATTAACATCCCTTTCACATGCATGCAAATGGGTTGCAATCTCCAGAACATGGTGCAGCACAAGAGGACTGGTAGGATAATAAACACCCGAACGATTATAACAAGAGAGTCATAAAATACTTCCAGGAACTCCAATATTTTCCCAGCCACGTGCCAATGGGTTGGAGACAACAGTGCAGAACCATAATTTGAATTTATGAACACAGAAAATACTTCACTGTAAGGAACCAAGTGTTTTAGCATGAGATAAGTAGCATTCCATCTAACATCCATGTCTAAGCCAAATTTTCTAGGTCTCATACCTTTAGCTTCACAGTAGCTTCTAAACATAGCAATTCTTTGATTAGAGGAGTTTAAGAAATTAATTGCAGTTCTAAAATCCTCTATATAAGGTTTGATTCTTTTTAGTCCAGATTTGACTATCAGATTAATAATGTGACAAGCACAGCGTTGATGCACAAGACTGTAACCAGGTGCAGGATCATCAGGTGCAGGATCACAACCAAGATAACCAGCAAACATGGGTGTCAAAGTTTCCATAGCCTTAGCATTAGAAGATGCATTATCTAAAGTGATAGAAAAGATTTTATCAACTAAGCCATACTCCTCAACAACAGATACAATGAAAGCAGAAATGTTTTCACCAGAATGCTTAACTTGAATCAACCTAAGACCAACAATCTTCTTTTGCAATTCCCAATCAGCATTCACATAGTGAACAACAACAGATATGTAATCCTCTTTAGCATTACTGCACCATATGTCGGA